ACTCACCCCAGCCTCCCAAAGGCGCGGGATTACAGGCTGAGCCACCGAGCCCGGCTTGGCCTGGTCTTTTAAAGGTGCCCCATTAAACTAGAGGAAAGACAAGATAAAGACATGCTGCTGTGACTGCTTATGCTAGAAAAATATACAGTGATTTCACCTGGGTAGTTACTAAGTACCCCAACAAATTAGGCATAAATTCTTAGCCATTCTCCCATAGACACTGAGGCTTATCTATACATATATCACAATATATGATACAAGGATGGGCAGCTTCACCAGTGTAATGGCTAGAGTCCTTACTAATCTAACCCACTGAATAGGTTAAATTTCCCTGGAATAAAGGACAATTATACACCAGATAGACAGATACTCTATAAGGCTTATTTTCTCACTAATATTCTCTCACTCAGGGAAGGAACTGACCAATAAGTGAATTATATGCAAATACATAAATTGGCCTGTTCATGTTAGTGCCATGAGGAAAAGGACAACATAGTCCTCTGTGCTGAAACTATTAGGACTGTAAAGGTAGGAGGCTTCTCTATTTCCTTTAGTAACCTATTTATGATAGATGATGAACAGCTGGAATTTACTTATTTATTTGTGACAGAAAGATGGAATCATATTGTGGGAACAAACTAACTCATTCTTCCTAGGGATCGAGTCCAGAAATCGCTGTTGTATGATTCGACAAGCACAGTCCTCCCTTCAGAGCGGGCATTCGTCCACTCATATGGCTTTGATGCTCACTCACACATGATAACTTTGCTTAAAGTCATTCCAACATGGAACTATCACTAAAAGCTAAAGACTTAGAACCTTTCACCTTTTATTTTTCTCTCCCTAATCTATCTTCCTTAGAGAGGAAGCTGGTGTAGCAGAAAAAGCAGTCACATTCGTATTATAAAACCTGAGTTAGAATTTCACTTTTGTCACTTATAAATGATGTGGCATTAGGAGGTCCCTCAGCCACTCTGAGCTTCCTCTTTAACACACAGGAGGATAGTATCGCTTTCATGATGCCATGTGGAAATTAGGTGAAATGACATAAATGAAAGGGCTTAGCCTGTAGTAGGGGGCTCACCTCTATGCTGACACTCCTCCCATCTCTTCTGTTTCTGCCCTCACTGAGTCCTGGTACCACACCTTCAACTGTTGACTTGACACGTCCACTCAACTCTCTCACTAGCATCTCAGACTGGCAAATCTCAGACTGGACTTATGGTCTCCACTCTCAAACCTGTGACTCCTCTGGACTTCCCTGACTTTGCCCATGACAGTAAAAGTACTGGCAATTCCTGGTGTTCATCCTTTCTTCTCCATTCTTATCACTACCACTTTCATTTGGGCTCACCTTGTCTCTGCACACCAGACACATCAAGCACAAGAGCCTTTCGGGTAGCCTCGATGTCTTAGTGAAGCTCTGTCTCTCCCTATCCATCCTGCTTGTGGTTTGCAAATTAAACTTTCCCCAACCAGATCTGTCACTTCAAACCCTGAACAAAAATGTTCAAACACTTTTTTGCCCTGCAGCATGGTATTTATGATTGAAGACGAGCAAACTCCACTGGGTGGAGATAACATGGGGCCCACACAGCCTGTGTACGCAGTGCTGAGCAATTTCAGAGTATTGCACATAAAAGAAGCACTCTTGGGATAAATATATCATAAAACAATGCATTTTTAAAAGCAGCCACTGAGAACTGAAAAGCAAATTGCTGTATATAATATTTAATAACATAATCTAAATCTGCCACAAACACCCTCCCAATTGTATTAAACTGTAACAATTCATTGATACTAAACAAGTTTAGGTGTTGTATATTAAAATCATATAACAAATGGTTAAGTCCTTAGCATTTATATCTAATGGCAAATCTGGTCAGTCTCAGATGTGTTCTTACCATTTTGTTCATCCAATTCATTCCCAATTTCCTGGCCCATTTGCTTTTGGCGACTTATGATAGAAGAAAGGGCATCGAGGCCTGCATCCTGTTCTGAAAGAAAAAAAAGCACAATGAACTAACTAAAAACCAAAGGAAAACAATTTGAAGTTCATAAGAATACCCAGGAATTTTACACAATTCAATATATGACAAAAGTAACATTTTTAAATCAGTCAAGAAAGGAGAGATAAAGCAGTTAACCTTATTGGAACAAAAATTTAAAACCTACTCTTGCACCTTTTAGTAAAATGAGAAAAATTGAGATTATAAATATGAAGATAAAATAACATAAGATTTGGCTATAAAAACAATTAACTTTCTGATACTTGACATATAAAGAGCATGTACAAAACAATTAAGACTTAGTATTTTTAAAACAGGCAGAAGTTATAAATAGATTTACAAAAGAATTTTAAAAAGGAAAATACAAGTTCTGACATCACTACTAAGTTCTAAAATACAAATAAAAAACAATGAGATTATTATTGGCATATCAGATTTGTAGGGATTAAAAGGAATGACAATATCAAGATGTTCCCAAGTACTACATAATAGGAGTACATAATAGGAGTACATCCCTAGATGTTCCCAAGTACGACATAATAGGAGAATCAGTTCAATCTACTAATCAAAATCTTTCAAGTGCAGATTGCACCCACTATTTTATCTACCAATTCTAAGTCTAGGCATGTATGCAAGAAAACAGTCAGACAGCATGCAATGGTATATAAACAAGGATATTCCCTGAAACATTTGCTTTTTGTGCTGGGTAACAATTTATTGCATCTCAGCTCCAAATTTACCCCTTTTGGCTGCTCTATGAAAATGGACCTGGACCCCTTGAAAATCTTTTCCTTTGCCAAGGTTTCTGCTTCCTGGCTTCACTCTGCTCTCTTGACAGGCTCCTTCAGTGCTTATCGCTTTTCCAGTGTCCAGCTACTTCAGTGCATGGTGGCCAGTAGCACCCTGAGGCAGCAACTTCTCCCAGTTTCATGAGTGTGCCTCCACTGAGCTACTTCCTCATGAACAGTTTTCCCTAGCACCCTCTAGAGCAGATCTCTATCAAGTCCTGCCAGCATAGCACCAGTGTGACTTCTCTGAAATCCAGAGAACCTCAGCTGAGCCCTCGGCCCTGAGGCATGGGCTTTTTGGACACTCTATCTCAGCTTGAGAGTTAGTGACTGCAGCTTATGCCTACCATTTCCGTATCCCTTAGAGTTCTCTTAACTTACTAGCCATTCTCTTATTACTCTAATCCCTGTTATAGTTAATAATGCTTCATACTATACTTTCTCTGTCAAATTTCTCTCTTCTGATTGGACCCAGAGTGATATACTTATAGTAGTGAAAAATTGGAACATTGCTCATGTATGTTTTGATACTGAAAGAAGTTCATGGTAAGTTCTTAAGTTAAAAAGCAGCATACAAAGCAATATATAGAAATGGCATTTTTGTTTTAAAAATGAAAATGTATATACTTTGAAATTGCTTGAAAATTTAAAGAAGAAATTTAAATTTAATTTTTTTTTTTGAGTTGGGGTCTCACTCTGCTGCTCAGACTGCAGTACAGTGGCACAATCACAGTTTTCCACAGCCTCAATCTCCTGGGTTCAGGTGATCCTTCCACCTCAGACTCCTGAGTAGCTAGGACTATAAGCCCATGTCCCCACATCCAATTAATTTTTTTTGTAGAGATGAAGTTTCACCATGTTGCCTAGGATGGTCTCAAACTCCTGGGCTCAACCAATGCTCCTGCCTCAGTGTCCCATATTCCATGCTGGAATTACAGTCATAAGCAATCGCGCCTGGCTGAATTTCTTTTAATAGTGAGTTAAAGTTACTCAGGATTCTTTAAAATTTAACTTTTTTTTTTTTTAACTAGGCAGTCTCAGTCATTTTTGTAAGAATTTTAGGCCGGGCTAAGTGACTCAGTCTGTAATCCCAGCACTTTGGGAGACTGACGTAAGTGGATTGTCTGAGCCTGTAGGTTCGAGACCAACCTGGGAAGCTTGGCGAGATCTCGTCTCTACAAAAAAGAAAAAATTAGCCAGATGTAGTAGCATACACCTGTAGTTCTGGCAACTTGGAAGGCTGAGGTGGAAGGATCACCGGAGCCTAGTAGGTTGATGCTGGGGTGGCCGTGAGCGTACCACTGCACTCCAGCCTGGGCGACAGAGTGAGACTCCAACTCAAAAAATAAAAAAATAAAAAAGAACTTTTCTTCTACTTTGAGGTATACTGGGTAGAACACTCTGAAGCTGAGTGTAATGACTGTCTAAGCAACATGCCACATGAAGGTAAATTATGCTAGTTGCAGCTTCATTGTTAATAGGGTTTGTTAATGACTATTTCACATAAAGGCATATCTATGAAAGCAGAAATCGCAAAGGTCTTACTAAAGGTCATATTAACATTTACTTATATTTTTTCAAAGTCTTTTTATGGAATTAAATCATTACACTTAGCTCTTTAATTCATCTGGAATTTATTTAAACTAACATTGTAAGGTAAAGACCCCTTAGTGACACTTTTTGACACCATGCGCTTTTTTAAACTATACAAACGACCTGCTATCTCTAGGGATTATTCCAAGGGACCATTTTATAGTAAAATCACTTTATAATGAGGTTCTTTTGGTCTTCAATAACAACCTCTTGGATGGTCTCCAAGGTAAATCTATCATCAACCTAGTGCTGCTATAAGATGACTGATGTTAGAGTAAAACTCTAAATGCATCTGAAAAATAATCTATATATAGGACTGAGGGTCAAGTGCCAATGTGGATTAAAAGGTAAAACAATTTAAAGAGAGGAATTGAGATTACTCTAGGGTTTTCAATTAGGAAAAGAGTCATTAAACTCCTGAAGTTCTAGTAGAAACATAGATTATGAATGAAAAATACCTACCTTACAGTCTTTTCTCTCAAACTTGACTCAAATCTGACCCAATGACCTGAAGATCATCTCTCTAATGCACAACAGAGAGCTAAAAATTCTACTTCATTTAAATAACTTTGATAAGACCATAGCACCTCCCTATATATGTTTAAGTGCTGTAATAAATTTTTATTCCATAATCCAAAGACACAGAAGATCCAGATAATTGAGATGCTATGCAGGCAATAATAATAACATCAATAAGCTGGGCTTCTCCAAGTCTTAAAGCTGCATTTCTAAAGGGAGGTGGTCTAGCCATCTAATAGACAACGATCTAATAAAATGATTTTACCCACAAAAATATAAACGATGAAGACCATGCACAGATGTGGTGGTTATGCCTGTAGTCCCAGCTACTCAGGAGAATCATCTGAGTCCAGTAGTTCAAGTCTAGCCTGGGCAACATAGCAAGACCTTAGTCTCAAAAAAAAAAAAAAAAAAAAAAGAATCATGCATTGACAGTTTTCACAAAAAAGGCATTAAAAAAGGCAAAAGAGGCCCAGCTCAGCTCTCTACAATAAATGAAAATTAGCTGTACGTGGAAGCGCACGCCCATAGTTCTGGCTACTTGGAAGGCTGAGGCAGAATGATCGCTGGAGCCCAGCAGGTTGATGCTGAGGTGGCCATGAGCGTGACACTGCACTCCAGCCTGGGCGACAGAGTGAGACTCCAACTCAAAAAAAGAAAGAAAAAAGAAAATTAATAGAATGATGCAGACAGTCCATTACCAGCAAAACTATTATGATGTCACAATGATAGTTAAGTGCTAAAATCTGCTCTACTCTATCACATAGATCAAGTCATTATGATGTCACACTAGGATATTTACAAAAGACCACATTCTAGTCTTCTATTTTACAATGTTGTGAATTTTTAAAAATGGATGATCATTGTTGTAGATAGAATTTGAGATGGCAGAGTAGCCTGGATTATCCAGATGGACCAGTGTAATCTCACAAGTCCTGAAAAGCAGAGAATCTTTCCTTTGCTGTCAGAGGGAGATATGAAGAAAGGTCAGAGAGAGACAGCTTGCTGGCTTTAAAGATGGCAGAAGAGGACCATAAGCCAGGGGATGTGGGTGGCCTCTAGCACCTGGAAAAGGCCAGGGAATGAATTCTTCCCTAGAACCTCCAGGAAGGAATCTAGCCCTGCCAACAACTTGGCCTGAGCCCAATGAGCCCTGCATTGAACTTCTGACCTACAGAATTGTAAGAAATAAATGTGTTTTCAGTAACCAAGTTTGTGCTAATCTGGTATAGCAGAAATAGAAAATTTATCTTTTTGGAACAATCAGGTATTTGGATACTTCTATCTTTAGACATTCAGAAATGCAAGATCTAGAGAGTGGGAAACTACAGGGAAAATGACCCGTTTCCTCAATGAATAATTTGCAAAGCGTTGGAAAAGGACCCCACATATTAAAGAAACTTAAGGGACAACATATCAGTCAGTTGCAATATGTGGACTATATTCAGATCCTGAATTGAACTATCTAAAAGAAAACATCACAGGATAATCAGGGAAATGTGAACACAAACTGGATATTTGATTATATTACGGAATTAAGTTAATTTTTAGGAGTGATAATGGCATGTGGCTATAGTTTGTTTTTTTTTTAAATAGGACTTATCATTTACAAACATATTTTGGAGATATATTCTGACATATTCACTGATGAAATAATATGATACCTGGGATTTGCTTCTAAAATAATCCAGGGAATGGATCGGATAGATAGATAGATGAAAATACAGGTGAGACCAGATTGGCTATGAATTGACAAATGCTGAGGAAGAAGAATGGGTAAAATGGAGTCATCTGATTCACTCTACTTTTTTTTGTGTATGTGTGATAAGGTCTCACTATGTCTTCCAGGCTGGAGAGCATTGGCATGTTTTTGGCTCACTGCAGCCTCAACCTCCTGGGCTCAAGTGATCCTCCCACCTCAACTTCCCAAAGTGCTGGGATCACAGGCATGTGTCATTATGCCCAGCCTCTCTCTACTTTTATATGCTTGAAATTTTCTACAGCAAAAAGTTATCAACATTTTAACAAGTAATTATAAAACAGAGGGACGTTTCTAAGAGTCATAACCATAGTCCTCTTACTGAGCAC